TCGATAAGAGTAGGCTTCGGCCGCCACCCGGGCAAAATTCAAAATTTCCTACCAACTGAAAATATTAGGATTGTCCCGCGCGCTCATATGACCTATGCAGTTGCGAGCGCCGTAAAACACTTTACAAAACAAAAACATAACCACTAGGCTACCAACGCCACCCATAGTTAGCCTATAATGGATTGTTTTAAAAATCTAACCCCTAGCCCCTTCTGCAAAGACTACCAAAATCCTAACGTAACCTTTAAACCATAACCCCTAACCTCTAACCCTTCACCCCTAATCCCTCACCCTAACCATAACCTTAACCTTAAACTCTAACCCCAACCCTAACAGTAACCCTAATCCTAACCCTAACCCTGCTACTAACAACAATCCTAAATTTAACCTTGATCCTGACCTTAACCCTAACTAACCCTAACACTAACCCTGACTGTAGCCCTTACCATAGCCCTCATCTTAACATTAACAATTTAATAATCCTAATCATAGCCCCTAATCCCTAACCAATCCCATAACTTCTAACCTCTAACACAGCTCCCCTAAACCCGAACCTCTAACCCTTAACCTCTAACCGCAAACCCCAAATGCATAACCCCTATCCTAACATTAACCCTAACCCTCCCCCTAAACTGGAACCTAACCCTAATCCTAACCATCACACTGACCCCAACACTAGCAATAACTTTATCCCTAACCCTCACAGTAACCCGCCGCCCTCCCCTAACTCTAATATAAACCCTAAACCTTAAACCCTATCCCTTCCCTAACCCCCTAATCCTGAATCCGAAACCCGAAACATTAAACCGTAAAGCCTATATTATAGCCCCTAACCCCTAACACCTAAACCCCAACTCCTAACCACTACCCCTAACCCCTAATCCTAAACCCGAAACCGTAATGCCTATATTATAACCCCTAACCCCCAACCCCTAACCCCTAACCCTTAACCCCAAACCCCAACCCTCAAACGCACAGCCCCTAACCGTAGTTCTCTCCACCCACCCCTATTTTCTAACCACCCTAAGTGGGCGGTTGGCGGGTGCTCTGGTGTGGTTTGCTTCTCCTTCCCTATCTAACATCTATCGCCCTTATCTCCCCTCCTTTTTGTTTGTAACTCTCTTGTAACACCTCTTATCTTCTGGCCCTCATATGACCGTATGCAGTTGCGAGCACCGTAAAACCTCTACTAAAACTAAAACTAACCACTCTTACCGTAGTTATCTCTCCACCAATCCCTATTTTCTAACCACTAAATACTAATCATGCCCCCCCCCCCCCCCACACCCCTCTATGTCTCAGAGTCCTAGTGATGGAGGCTGGCGAGGTGGCCGAGTTTGCCCCTCCGCGGGAACTGTTGGACAACCCGGAGTCTCTCTTCTACAGTCTGGCCACAGAGGCCAAGCTTATCTAGGGCACTGGACTGGCACACGGCTGGCATCTGGCATCTGACATCTGGCATCTGGCAGGCTGACATCTGACATCTGGCATAGTAACTTATCTGGGACCGTGGGCTTGCAAGCTGACATCTGGCATATGACACTAGCTTATTTGGGACACTGGACTGGCACACGGCTGGCATCTAGCATCTGACATCAGGCATCTGGCATCTGACACTAGCTTATCTAGGACAGTGGACTGGCACGCTAACGTCTGACATCTGCCATCTGGTACGCTGATATCTGGCACTGCAGCAACTTATGTTTGATGGTGGACTGGTACTTTGGCATGTGGCACTAAAATAGCTTATGTTTGATGGCCCTCTGGCACTGTCTGAAATGGCACTATGACAGCTGACAGGATTTCAAGTAGCACTTTGGCATCTTTCACTATTGCAGCTAATGTTTGATGGTAGACTGACGCTTTGACATTCTGCCCTCTGGCACTATAGTACTTAATGTTTGATGGTAGACTGGAACTCTAACGTCTGGCGCAGTCTCAAGTGGCGCCCTATATGTAATATGACAACTCGCACTATAGCAGTTAGCAGGTAATGTTTGATGACGGATTGGGGCTCTGCCATTAGGCACCAGACAACAGTAGCCACTTGTTGATGGCAGACTGGCATTCTGGCACTATAGTAGCCAAAGTTTGATGGCAGACTGGCATTCTGGCACTATAGTAGCCAAAGTTTGATGGCAGACTGGCATTCTGGCACCATAGTAGCCAAAGTTTGATGGCAGACTGGCATTCTGGCACTATAGTAGCCAACGTTTGATGGCAGGCTGGCATTTTGGCACCATAGTAGCCAAAGTTTGATGGCAGACTGGCATTCTGGCATTCTGCCAACTGGCACGATAGCAACTCATCCGGGACAGCAGACTGGCACGAATCTGCCTTCTAGCATTGTCGAAGTGGCGCTTCAAGTAGCACTTAAGACGTCTTTTAGTTTTAGTAGAGGTTTTACGGCGCTCGCAACTGCATAAGGCCATATGAGCGCCAGAAGATTAGAGGTGTTACAAGAGAGTAACAAACATAAAAAAGAAGAAGGGGAGAAAAAGACGACAGATATTTGATAGGAAAGAAGAAGCAAACCACACCAGAGCACCCACCAACCACCCACCTTGAGACGTCTGACATCATGCACCTAATGTGAGATGGCAGAACTGGTGCAATTTCATCAGTGGAGTTCAACACTGCAAGTTTATTCAAATTCAAGAGGTAGGACCTCTCCGAATTTAACGACCATCTCCGATAGGGCAGATCCAAATGGGTGGGTGGAAGGCCTTGACAACTTTACAAAACACAGCGACGCAACAATAATTAGATCTAGATCTACAACAAACTTTTACAGTATTTACATTTACAGTATAGTTCAGGGAAGAATAGGAGCAAGACTGACAGCCAAAAAAAGAACAAAAGGAAAGAAAAGAAGTAAGACCTACTTTTGGCACCTCTGTTATGCTCTATCATCACTATCAAGGCTTAGTCCATCTACAAAGGTCCTTGAGCCCATCCCATATAAGGTCGCTTTTAAGCACAAGATGGCTATCCCGAAAAATGCTGTTTTGAGAAAATCGAAAGTAACGTTTTTACCACTTTTTCAGTTTCTTTAAAAGACAAGGAGAGTTTTCTCTATAACCAAACAAACATCATCATCATCATCCGGTGCCTTGCCGACTGGCGTGGGCGATCATGGACCTCCACTTCACTCTGTCTTGCCTTGCCGACTGGCGTGGGCGATCATGGACCTCCACTTCACTCTGTCTTGCCTTGCAGCAATTGTGTCTGTTGTTCTTGCTGCTCCTAGCCATGTTATCATCTTGAAATAAACATACACACCATTGAAACCAAACTTCTCCTGTAGGTAGGGCAATATCTGCCTTTCTCAGGTTTTTGTAATTAATTTCTTTCTTGTACATACCCTCAGATCTATATTATAATTTTCATGAATGTTTTTGTAAATAATAATAACGCTTGTCAAACTCAGCTGTTAATATAATATGTGAGACGTGCTGACAAAATGAGTTACTTCTCACAATCCACAAGTGGAGACATAGGCCAAAAATCGACTCTAGATCTAGGGTCAAATTTGTAGATTTTCTATTGATGTCATATTCTTTAAGTAAAACATGCCTTACATTATTTCTTACTTATAAATTGTAAAAACTTCACCTATAAGCGTAAAGTAGCGATTTCCACAGGGCTCGAATCTGTGAAGTAACTCATTTAGTCAACACCCTTGACATAATTTATATTGTCGCCGTCTTGTTGTAACAGCAGATGTCTGTAATTAACATTGTGAATCATAACAAACCTGTTTAGTCACCTCGGGGATGTGGGTTGATTTCTGTGGTAGAATTAAGGGGAATTATATTTCAAACACTTTTCTCAAAAATCACTTCACAAGATGTGAGTCATTTTCTGTATCTTTTGTTCGTGATACGGTAATCAGTTTTTACGTTTTTAAAAATTATTTTATATGCCTATAAGCTTAGGTTTTGTCTGGTTTTGTTT